GAAATATAAATTCTTTTAAACAAAATTATTTTTAAAAACTGCTTTAGTCAAATAGTTTTGGTATGATTGCAGTTATAGTGTAGAGATCTGCTATAAAAATCTGCAATCGTGCACGACCTTTCTTTCCCTGGTTGATGGCCAGTGTTCCTTGGATTATACAGAAATGGTTTCTCCCATGTGCACTCCAGGCTCTTACATTCTCTACATTTTTAGCTTTTATTCAACTAGCAATGATTTTTAAAATGGAAATATTAGTCTTTCAATAATATTGGTGTGTATAAAAAGTTAAGGTGTACTCTGACAATACAGTCTATAAGGAGTTTCACTGACAACTCATAGGCAGCCCATCTCTGGTGGGTCTGCAGGGGAAAGATGAGCAATTTCCTCTTACAATCTCCTGAAAACTGTTGGAGTGGGCTCAGACTAGACTGCAATCTATATTTGTTTATTTGCTTACATGGACTATCATTTAGAATTAACTTTAGTGACTCTGGTGAGCATGTATTGACTGCGTCAGTAATTTTCCTGGTTTAATGACATGCTGTAGTTATACGGATGGGAAGAAGTTGTATGAAGAGTATACAAGACCGCTCTACTATTTTTACAGTTTCCCATTAATCTAAAATTTAAAAAAAAATTTTTTTGTGCATGTGTGTGTGTGTACCATCAAATCGGATCTGACTGGTGCAGGAGGAGATTGCCTCTCTTCTCCAGCAGAGCATCTGGTGGATTTGAACCACATTCTCCTGGAATTGCAGTGAAGCTTCTTGCCAGTAGGCCATCAGAGCTCCCTTAATCTAAAATATTTTAAAATAAAAATTTAAATTTTTACTTTAATATGTTGTATATTCTCCTTCTATAATTTTTGCATAGATGATGAAACTACACTTAATTTGCACTTTATTACCTTTTTTAATCACTCATATAATTGTTCATGTTCCCACACTATGAAAAATTCCTTGTAAATTTAATTTCTGAAAGCTAAATTATCTCCAACAGTGTTTTATAACACTTTCCCTATCCATTTCCTCATTACATTTTTACTGGTACACATTTTAGGAATTTTAGGGGGAGGAAATTATTATAAAAATCATTGACAGCTGTTTGTTTTTATTGATTTATTTTTATTCCATTCTCCTTCCCTATTCATTCCTAGTAACCATCCAAAAAACGATTCTTTCTGTGTGTAAACTTTTCTTTAGTTTTTTACAATAGCAGTCATAGTTGTTGTGTGCCATTGAGTTGGAACCAGCCCATAGCTGACCCTCTAGCTGGTTTTTAGGGACAGTAAATTCCATAGGAGATTGCTCATCCTTCTTCCTCAGAGCAGCTGGTGAATTTGAACTAAATGACTTTGAGTTTGCAGTGCATGCAGCTTCTTACCACTAGTCCACCAGAGGTCCCTACAATCATAAACTCATGCAGTATTTATCTTTTTGTGACTGAACTTACTTCACTCAGAATAATGTAATTGAGACTCACTCTTGCTATATGGTATTTCACAAATCTTCGCTATTCTTTAGAGTTACACTGTACTCTAGTGTGTATCCATACCAAAGTTTGTTTATCCATTCACCCGTTGATGGATATTTGAGTTATTTCCATCTCTTTCCTTTTGCAAATAATGCTGTGATGAACATGAGTGTTCACATATCAGTTTGTATTGTAGTTCTTGTTTCTTTAGGATACATACCGAGTAGTAGGTTTGCTGGATCAAACATTATTTTTGTTTCCAACTTTTTAAGGAAGCACCAAATTGCTTTCCATAGTGGTTGTACTATTTTGGAGTCGTATCAGCAGTTTGGCATTGTTTTGGCCTAGTGTTAAAAAAGCTATGATACAACAAGTTGGTCCTTAGAGCCAAATGATAAAAAAGAAAAGCTATGCTACAATCCCAAAGGCACAAGATTCAAATCTAGCAGAATAGGCAATCTCCTCTGTTTGAAAACCCGCTAGAGGGTCAACTATGAGTCAGTTCTGACTTGATGGCACACCACAACCAACTACACCAACAGTGTATGAGAGAGAATTCAGTTCTCTCCACCTGTCACCAGCATTTGTTATTTTCAATCTTATTGAATTTTGCTATTGTTGCTGCGATGAGATCTCACTGTTTGATTTTTGTCTCTCTAATTGCTAATTATTTGAGCATTTCCCATGGTGACCCTCTTCATACAACTTTATCTTCCAGGTTATTATAACCATTTTCTCACATGCTTCCTATTGTCCGTATTTAGGAGGGCTAAGAGATTTGCTATTACTTCCTCAGAGATATTTCACTATCCTTTGTGTTCTCTTTTTATCCTGCCCTGACCTTTGTAAATATTCAGTTTGGAATATTCTAGTGGCCTAGCAGTAAGAAACTGTGCTGATGGGCAATTTCCTCCTGTGCTATTTACTGCCTCTGGAAACCTGCTGGAGGGTCAGCTATGAGTTAGTTTTGGTTCCGTAGTAAACAAGAGGTAAATTTCTGCTTCTTCAGTGAGTCTCACTTTTTTCTTCCACACTTCTTTTACCTATATAATTTGTTCCTTTCTAGAATATTTTCAAAGTTATCTTTCAGAGTGATAAAAATATCCTGAAATTTTCTTATAATTGCAAATCTTTCAATTATAATATTTATATTAATTTATATTTACACATGAAATATGAGGCTGTCTGTCTCTACATGGCAGCTTACAATCTTGAGGAGGCCCCATACATTCCTAATGACTATCAAAAAGTATTAAATAAAATATTTGAACGAAGCAACACAACAAGAATAAGGACAAAAGTGGACTTAAACATAGTATCCGCAAATAGCATAAAGAAAAGCAAAATTCTTTATATTATTTTTTTTTTTTGCTTCAAAGTCTAATAATATAAAAATGCTATCAAAACGTAAACTTCAACTATTTTGGAAGTAAAAACTATTACATCAGAACAAGGAGCTAAATCTAAATTTCCTTAATTTGTTCAAGAAGTTGGATATTTAAGGGGTAAGTTGTAGATGGGAACAGGTATGTAGGTAACTCCCTTGAGTTCATGTCCTAATTTCTATGGTTCAGTTCCTACTCGATGGTACACAACAACAATAAGAAAAAGCAGCAACTTAAGATAATTGGCAAAGTAGCAAACTACGTAGAAAAATATATGTACTCTTTTCAGTAGGCTAGGAAAATAAATTCTTTATTGTATTTCTGCACCTTAACCATCCCTTAACCTGGGTTTTTAAATTGCAGATCCCCCTTAATCTGTGTTAGTTGAGTTTTAATTTTTCTTGCAGACTTAATTTCGCTTTGGTCAAGTGCTTCGTATTGTAAAATATAATCAACAACCTCTGAATCTCCCCAAGAGGTTAGCTTCACGCCATCAGGCTCCCCCTCCAACACGGAGGCGCAGCCTCAATGATCCTCGAGTGACGTCATAAAGGGACTCTACCAAGTGAGGCAGGCACCTCACTAGTTCCAAAGTCTTTGCCCAGTTCTATCATTTCAAATACTAGTTTCCCTAATCCCGCCTCAGCCCAGTCCCCTTTAGTTAAAGTGCAAGAATCAAAGTATCAGGTCGATACACCCTACACGGCCACACCATTCTCCCATACCCGCCTAACCCACCCCCAATTTGTGGTGTCGCCCTGCAATTTGGCTCCAGTGTTCCTCCCCCCCACCTCCGCCTCTCCCACCCTTGTCTTGCCTGTGGGCTGGCCTAACAGGGCCGGCCTACTGAAACAATAGGCTGGGGGAGAGGAAGGGAAAGGGAAGTAAGGAGAGGACCTCCACACCAACCAGAAAGGATGAGTTTCCTCGGCAGAGAAGCGGGGTGGAAATAGAAAGGTCTTCACCCTTGCCTTCCACTTAAGAACCATGAATACCAGCAACTTCCTGGCCATCTCAGGCAGCGGGGGTTTGGGCGAGGGTGTCAGGGAGAGAGTACAACCATAATCGGGCAATTCTGGCTGGAATGCATCCATTTTGTATGAGTGGCGCACCCACTCCGAGTGGAGGACTGTCACCTCTATCTACTCCAGGTTGACTGCGTCCTCAGTGGATGTGTCTGACTCCTGAAACTCTACTGCAGACTCTCGCCTCATTTCCACTTCTGGTCTGAGGCTTAACACCAACTGGGAACCCGGTCCTTGGGCTTCAGCGTCCACGATCTGAACTACAGGATTCCCAAGCCGCCTATCCCTAGCCTGAGCATTACTGGTGGGATCTTCCTAGCCTCGACCCTGGACACTGACTCCTGTTCAAACCACGGGGTCTCCCAGCCTTTGATATCTGCCTTCCTGTGGATATCAGTGCAACGACCTGCAGCAGTGATTACCTCAGTAGGGTGAACACCAGAGCTCCTCTGCCCCACAGCTCCTGAGTCCACCCAGAGTTCGTTGACAGAGCCTCCGATGCCTAGTTCCAAACAGGAGTCAATATTAATACCTCCTACACTCGCGAACACCCCTGCAGGGTCGCCACATGGGCTAGTCCTCCCTTCCAGGCCCAAATTCCACAGGGATACCATAGAAGTACCTCCTACATTCATGAACACCCTGGTATGATCAGCACATAGGTTTATGCCTTTTTCCAAGCCCAGCTGTCCTTGTAGTTCAATACAAATGTCTCCACAAACACCCCCCGAGTATCAGAACAAGAAACCACCTCCCTCATTGTACCGGCTCCCCTAGGAATTCAATACAAGGCTTTGATCAGTTTTTTTAATTTCCCCTTAGTGTCACTTCTTGCCAGCCCCAGGTCTCCACAGGAGGATTTGCTCCGCCCTCAGCCTCCCCTCGAGTATCAGTATCTGAGGTCAGCTTCTTCTTTGGTACCAGTTTCCCCACTGCTATCAATACATAGATTAGCTCCACCTCCAGATTCTTCTAAAGTGATGGTACCAGGGTTTGCTCCGCCCCTGCGCTGAAATCTTGTTGGTAATCTGAGTAAGGATCTACTCCGCCTCCAAGCTCCTCCCGGGTGTGGGTACAAGGGCCTGCGCCGCCCTCCACTGGCTCCACTCCTATACCTATGCCTCAGGAGGGTAACAAGCATAGTGTGGTGAGTCGGGAGAAGGCGAGTATGGAAGGCCACATGTTCGACGTAGTTGTGATAGGAGGTGGCATCTCAGGTGAGTGTACACCATAGTTATCAACTGAGGGGCTCCAGACATCCAGGAGTGGTGACAGCCAGAAGTGGGGGTCCCTCCTGCCTGCAAGTGAGGTATGGACCCTGCGAGGTAGGAATGGGGGTTGGGTCGGCTGTTGTGGTAATGTGTACTAATGGAGGCTGAAAGAATAATTTTACTACGTTCTAATATTTAATTACTCTTGCTATAACGTTCTGTATGATTTTCTCAGCCTTCAACAATTCAGAGTGGCATAATTTACTTAACCGGATTTCATGCAACTAGGAAACTGAAGCCTGGAGAATTTTAGTTGCTCTTCTGAGATCAAATGACTTATGTGGGAAGTGGCTGCATCAGGTTTTCCAATGTAAGACTCACAATAATTCTTAGATGGATGCTGTGTCCCACTGATTAAACATTTTTTTAAAAAAATCTAAAATAGAACATCAGGAAATAGATTTTTATAATATTGGAGGAGGAGGAAGAAGAGGAGAAGGAAGAAGAGAATGAAGTGGAGAATTGGGAGTATTCTATTTTTATGGAAACGTTTGGTTGTTTTTTTGGTTTTTTTTTGTGGAAAATGTGGTGAATGAAGAGAAGGACACAAAAATCTTCAAGGAAAGGTAGTCTACTCTAGCTAGCTTTTAGAATTGCAGAACGGTGTAGAGTAGTAATTGCCCAAAGGTAACCTCCTTGTGAAGCAAGGGCTGAGGCAGGTCAGAGACTGACTTGTGTCCTTTTTACATTACAAGCTCCCACTGCTTGAATTCTGTGCTGTAATGGGCCAGCCAGTTCAGATAGTCGGATTTTTAGATTCTGACTTGGGTTTGCAGCAGACCAAGTGAGTGTGGTGGTACATGGGCTTTTCATTTTCTTGGAAATCTCACCATACCTGATTTATTAAGTTGTTACTTAACATTCTCTTGTGTAGTAAAACATTTGTTTCAGCCTTAACTGGAATGGAACCTCACTGAAATTAAAGAAGCCATGTTTCAGGTATGCTTCTTTCCAAGAAGCTGTGAACTTGTTTGCAAGTAAATTTTGACATAGACTATTGAGGAGAGATAAACAAACAAAAAAATCCACTGGCTTGAGACTATAAATCTTTATGAGAGAAAATGTACATCTTTCTCCAGAGAATGAGTCAGCAGCAATATTTGATCTGTTTACCTTTTTAGTTAGCAGCCCTACAGTTGCAATCATGAGAGTAGAGATTGACAAGAACTGCTGCTTTGACAACACAACCCAATGCTAGAAGAAGCATGCATATTTCAGAGAATGAGAGGAAAGCAGGTCTTGGTTAAAAACCCTAACAAAACAACAACAAAAAGTCTATTGCCCTTGAGTTAGTTCCAACTCATAGCAACCCTATGGAACAGTGTAGAACTTCCACATAGGGTTTTCAGAGGCTGTATATCTTTATGCAAGCAGTTTTCTCTTTCTCTTAAGGAGAATCTAGAGAGTTCAAGCCTCCAACTGTTTGGTTAGCAGCCCATTTCTTAAATCCTCCACTGAGGTTCCTAGATCCCGCTGAGGAGGAAGAAAAAAAAAAGATATTCTCTCTGTTTCACATTTCTGTGTTCAGTCCCTCAATACTCGTTGAATGTCTGCAGTGAAGTGTACTTTTATTTCCAAAGACTACTGTTTATGTTGTTATGTACCATCAAGTAAGAACTGACCCATAGGTGACTCTCCAGTGGGTTTTCAGAGGCAGTAGACAGGAAGAGATTACTTATCCATGTGCCTCCGGAGTTGCAGTGCAGCTTCTTATAACTACGCTTGATAGTGTGCTGTGTAAATTGATTGGTAGTGTTTCCACTCTCATCATCATACAATTTTCCATATATTCCACAACTCTGAGTTCTCCCTGGTTATTTCTTATGGTTTTTTTTCCTTGTTTTGTGCTCCATGGTTCCTTAAGAAGTATTTTGGAAGTTTTTCCTCTCTCAATCTTGTAACCTGTTCTTTCTTCTACCTACAGTGCAGGAAAGAATGTACAGAGATGTACATGGTTACTGCCAGAGCTAGATTTGCCAGATAGCTTATAAAACGTGCTTTCCTCCTTATCCCCCATTTTACAATAGCAGGCCTCTTCTGCCTTTAATTCAGAATAAAGCACCAATTTCATGATGAATTTTATATCCATAATTTTGAAAATTTCTTTATAAAAACACATCGGTTCATAGGTATTATTAATCATTAATTTTATAATTTCCATTTGGAGGATCATTTATCATTTCAGAAACCAGATTCTTGTCTATCTGTATTGCTGAGAAAGACATTTTATTTCCTCTGAATAGTCAAATCCAAGGGATTTTTAATACACAAACTGACCAGAAACATTTCTTTCTATCTATGATACCTTCCCAGATGACTTACAACGTAAAGGAAAGTAAATGCAGGTTTGGGTCATGAGTAAACCCTAGGTATAAATCAGGCATTCTATGAACTAGTAAGAGACATCACTTCTCAAACAACCTTGAGTATTCAGAAACACATCAGTTTTGTGCTTGCTTAGCAGTATCTTAGGAGATTTTTACTATGAATCACATTTAAGTGCTTTCTAATTTTTTTAATTTTGTAAAATTTTAACAAATTTTTACAGCATATTCTTCCCATTTATTTTTTTTCTCATTCATTGTTGCACATTTTCCTCCCTGTCCACCTTCCCCGCCCCAGTTCTCTTTTATCTTTGAAAATAAAAAAAAATTCTTTGGTTGTTATACAATCACCCACTCCCAACCCCCAAGTCCACAGTTCACTTTACTATGCATTTCTTTTTCTGGAATCTTGTCATGAAAATGATACCTAATCATATATTCCTTTTAAACAGTACAGTTCTCTCCCTCATCTGTTTCAATTCAGTATACATTATTTATCCCCTCTTTTCTCAGGTTCCCCCAACCTTGATGTCAGTCCCTTTTTACAACAGTGGTACTATACAGTATTTGTCCTTTTGTACCTGAGATATTTCACTCAGCATAAAGTCCTCCAGGGTCACCCATTTTGTATAGTATTCCATGAGTTCCTTGTTTTTTAATGCAGCAGAGTATTCTATTGTGTGAATATACAGCATCTCTAGCCATTCGTTTGTTGCATACAGTATCTCTAGCCATTCGTTTGTTGATGGGCACTTAGGTTGTTTCCAGCTCCTTGCTATTGCGAACAAAGCCACGATAAACATGGGTGTGCATATATCTGCTTGGATGGCGGTTATGGTTTCTTTAGGGTGTATTCCCAGTAGTGGAATCGCTGAGTCAAATGGTATTTCTATTTCCAACTTTTTGAGAAAGCGCCATACTGCCTTCCACAGTCGTTGCACCACTTTACACTTCCAACCAACAGTGAATAAGTGTTTCAGTTTCTCCACAACCTCACCATCATTTGTTGTTTGCTGTTCTGTTGAATTTCGGTATTTTTAATGGGGTGAGATGCTATCTCATAGTGGTTTTTAAATGCTTTTTAATGTAACATTTATTGGAACTTTTATACTCTCTGTTAAGGATCCCTAATAGTGGTGTAGTGGTTAAAACACTTTCCTCCTAACTTCCAGATAGTGGTTTGAACACACAGGATAAAGTCTGCTTTCATAAAGAATCCATTTTTGGAAATCCTATGGGATAGTTCTACTTTGTTCTCTAAGTTTGCTATGAGCCACTGGTTGAGTTACTCAGCAGTTTTGAGTATGCACTCTGATGAATGAGCCCCTGGTAGCAGCGGTGGGTTAAGGTTTGCATGTTAACTGTGGTTTGAAACTGTGGTTTCTCCACAGGAGAAAGATGAGTCATCTGCTTCCATAAAGAGTTACAGCTTTGGAAACCCTCCAAGGAAGTTTTACTTTGTCCTGTAGGATTACTGTGATTTATAATCAACTCAGCTACTTACACTATTTACACATTTATAATACATGGTCAATACTTGGAAAATTCTCTGAACTGTGCTGTATCCTGTGCCATCCTCATCATTTCTGACACACTACAGCCCAATGCTGAAGTCTCTCTCTCTCTCTGTGTGTGTGTGTAATCTGAAATCTGATAGAAAAGAATAAATTTTAAATGAGGTTATTTAGAACTGATCCGTATTAACAGAATTATTCTTTATTTTTATTTTATAACTGCACAAAGAATAGCAACATCTTAACATATAACCCCTGCCTTTTTTTCATATAAAATACATATCTCAGTGACTTAAGGACAAAAGTTGCACAAGGCTACTATTGTGGAAATAGGATAACTGAGTGAGATAAATGTTTAAAAGGGGAAGGAGGGAAGGGGGCAGAAAAAGGGGAAGGCGGATAATAGCAGAGGTTAGTGGGGTGTGTGTGAAGTAGTGAGAAAGTTTCTTTGGAGGCTTGAAAAGACAGCCTGATAATAGGCATTGAGTAATGGTAATTCATTAAATAGAATGTACATGAATGAGTGTCTAAAATACAAAATATGTGTACAAAACACAAAGTGCATGTATAAAACATGATGTATGTGAATGATTGTCTATAAACCAATAAAAAAATTAAAAATATAAAATAGAACAACATGTCTCACAGCCATAAAACCTCTGGTACTGTCCACCTTACAAGTAAGTGGCATAGTGCCTTACATGTTGAACTGCTAATAAAAAAGTCAGAGGTTTTAATCCACCAGCCATCAATCTACAGGGGAAAGATTGACAGTCTTCTGTAAAGATTTATATAATTCAATCTACTCAAGGGCCCTGGGTTGGGTATAGCATGTTAGTTGAAAACTGAGAAACAAAACAAAAACTGACCGAAACAAGCCAGAGATGCCACCAGAGCTCTGTTCGTAGTTGAGAGGGTGAAAAAGAAATTGCCTTGTTCATTCCTAATTAGTATAGTGGTTCCTGTAGGATCCCTGATGGAATAGTGGTTAAATGCACAACTGCTAACCAAAAGATAGGCAGTTTGACCCACCGGCTGCTCCTGAGGAGACAGACAGATATGCTGATCCTTCCCTATAGAGATTGAAGTTCTGTCCTATAGGGTAGCT